CCTACCTTGCAGGGATGTTGTTGGGAGAAGATTTCTGAGCAGGAGGAAGAGAATGATGGAAGCTGCCTTGAGTGCGTTGTAAGAAAAAAGGCAGGATATAAATGTAATAATTATATACTTCTCTAGAAGTAAACATCAGTGAACTCAGTGAAAGTAAACATGCACACTGTGGATTGTTTTTTAACCATAGTTTACTGCTTTGACATGGAACTCCATCAAATGTGCTCTGAACATTTGGAAAGCTAATTTTTTTTTTTCCTGCAAAAACGGGAGGGGGGTTGCCTAGGATGTACCTTGCAGCTGCAGGTGGTGATTCAGTTGCAGAGGCTTCCTGGCTTTGTGAACTTGGAACTGGTAGTCACAGAAAGACAATCAACGAGCTGGCCAGAATGTATCGTATAGCTGAGTATTTTAAGCATCAGTTGATTGGAACAATAACCAGGAAGAGAGAAAAACCGTGTGCATTGTGGGGGTGACGCTGTGCTTATTGCTCCCTTCAGAGTAAGAAGTACAGAACTATATTGTGGTGACGGCTGAATTGCCACCCACGGCCCCTTGGCTCTTTATCCCCCCACCGGCTTTTCTCTGTGTTGGGAGGGGCATGGAAACACGCATGCAACAAGTTTTTGGAGGTGGAGCAGCCAAACCCCTGGTTTAACACAGCAAGCGTCATCCCTTTATGGGTGGCAGAAGCCATGCGAAGTCACACTGCCAGTGCCTGGCAATTATCCCATTGCCCACCTGTATCACTCACCTGAGTGAGGAGGAAACAAATTCCTCTGAGAGGGGCAGGTGGGGGAGCTGACGGTGGGTCCCTCGGCCAGGAGGATGAGAGCTCAGTTGTAAGCTGCACCTGTACTGCCCGTGGAAGGTCTTGGCCTCAGTTCCACGATCTCCATCTCAGGCAGGTAAGAGCCCTGTCTGAGGTGACAGTGAAGAGGTACCTGTGGGCTCAGTGGATTGAAGGGCTGTCCCGTTAAAAACAGCTTCCTAGAATCCTTGGCCGTGGGCCAGCTCGTGAGTTGACTTAATACATCAGTAAAATCAATGCGTCTCGCTCACACACCCCGTGCTGCTTTCTCAGGTATCCCCTCACAATGGAGAGCCCACGTGGTGCCGTGTTCTGCTTTACAGAGGCGCTTGCAGTGAAGGGCGTGTCCCCAGTGGATGTGGCGGGGCGTCCCTCGTGCATTTTGGCTAGCCAGTGCAAAGCAGGGTTTTGAAGAGGCCTCTCTCAAGTTTGGAGCCAATGACAAAGGCCGGGGAGATCAGGAAAGGAGATGGACGTGGACATCCCTTTGCCGGTTGGGAACAGCTCTGTGTCATCTCCATTTAGGTCCTCTGATGCTCCGAGCCGGTGAGAGCCATGGGGCCGAAGCAGCAAGCCATGGGCAGCTCCTTTTGCTGATTCTTGGATCGGCTCTGCCTGAGGCCTTCTCCCAGCGGTTCAGGAGCGTCAGCTGAGCGGCTGGCTGAGGTGCCCCAAACCGGCTTCTGCAACTCAGAGTTCAGTTGACAATATCTGGTCCTAACTGGGGCTTCCCACATGTGTCCAGACAGCAAAATAATGGTGTATATATGCAAACGGGACAACACCTGTTCCAGTTAGGGGGTTTTCCTGCATCATTAGGGTTCCCTCTGTAGGAAAACAGCTAAGCAGACATCCGTCAAAGCTACCAGTGGCAAACCTGTCTCTAGACCTTGCAGGTTCAGAGAGCTTCACACGCACTGCACTCCGGCAGGGATAAGTTCTGCTCTGCTTGCAAGTCTGCAGCTCCTAGAAAGGGGCAGAGGCACCTTTCTGCAGTGACTGCGGACTTTCCAGGTGCTCAGAAGCTCAGCACAACCAGATGAACTCTGATTCGTTTTGCACAGCTTGGGCTTTTCTCTCTCCTGATGCAAGCTAGTGGCATCCAGAAATCCTGCCTTGCTAATCTGACCAGCTTGAAATAGGTTAACCCCCACAGTGAATTAAAAATGGAAGAAAGTAAATGCATGCATTTGTCTGCCCTTCGAGTTTATCCCCCAGTCAACTCTACAATATATGAATATGTAGGCACAGAAAAGTTACTTCTTTTTCTTTTTCTAGAAATGTGGTTCCAATGCAAGCAAATGACAGAAATACTCACTTTTGTATTATTGGCATTTTGGGCAAAGAGGCAGAGTGTCCTCCTTGCAGGTCTCACCCAAGCTTCAGAGGCTCTTGGAGCACACCAAGCTGGGGACGACCGTTCTAGCAAATACTGCAGCGATTAGGGCGATCTTACCAAGCATTGACTTTCCTAGATCAAAACCACTTTCTGCACGAGTTTCTGCTTGCAGGACCTGAGTTGTTGGCTACAAAGTGTGGACGTTCATTATTTCTGAGTTTTTCTTTGCTGTGCCTGATGCCACTTGAAACTCGACCAAGCTTCACACTTAGCTTGACAGACAGGAGTAAGGTGCCTTGGATTGGTGGAATTCTCTACCTTGCACAGACATTTTGCCTAGAAATGTGGCATATAATTAAACTACGGAATTCCCTGCCACAGGAAATGGTGATGGCCACCAGTTTGGAAGACTTTCAAAAGGGGACTGGACAGATTCGTGAGGGAGGAGGTGGTCTGTGGCTACTAGCCTGGCTGGCCATGGGCTTCCTCCTTCACTGGAGGTGCCCTGCCTGCACACACCGGTTGCTGAGGGGCTTGGGCAGGAGGAAGTCTTGCCCCCATCCTGCTGGAGGGATCCTGTGGGCAGCTGGTTTGCTTCTGTGTGAATAGAATGCTGGACCAGGTGGACTTTGGGTCTGATCCAGTGGGACTTTCCTGATATTTTTATGTTCATTTAAAACGTAATAAGAGACAAAGTTTATCTCTCAGGGTTTTGGAAAGCTGCAAACAAGTCCTTTGCTTGTAATAGTTCTATAAGCTGTGACATTCCCCCCCCCCCACACCGCCCGGAAAACATCTATCCCAGAAAGAATCTCATGTGCCCACCTGCATCTTTACAACCTGTGCGCCCACCTGCCGCCCTCAGGGGGTCAACAGGCGATGCAGGTGTTGTGTCTAATGGCAGGCAGATCTGAGTCATAAAAAGGTGTGATGTATCCCAGAGGGAGAGCAGGCCGCAACTTGCTGTGAATATGGATTTTCTCGGGGGTTCGCGTGGGGACAACACAGAGCATGGCTGTGGAGCCGGAGTTGCCGAGTCAGAGTCGGAAGCAATTCTCAAGTTACTGGAGTCGGAGTTGGTAAAAACGTGCCACTCTGACTCCTGTGATATTTAAATTGCAATATAGATAATGAGTTAAAATTTCCTGTTTCACAGATGGTAATTTGATTAACATAATTTTTTAAGGTGTATTTTCAGGATATTTTTAAATTTCACCTATTTGTGAAAGTGGTGCTCCATGACATAACAATTCACAATGGCAAAAGAGTGTCAACAAAGTTAGCTGTTTTTGCACACTTTACGATCAGAACAGATGGGAACTATTATGTGTGTCAGTGTGTTATAGAATATGATGATTGTGAAAAGGCAGTTGGAAAAAGGAGTAACTGGTGTGGTTCTAATGAAGATGCAGCTGCAAGAGCATCGGATTTAAAAAGACACTTGCAGCATGATGTAGGTTGCGTGCTTTCACTCAATATAGGAAATTAATAATTAGTATATTGATTTCCTATTTGTTGTTGTTAGATGCGAAGTCGTGTCTGTCCCATCGCGACCCCATGGACAACAGTCCTCCAAGCCTTCCTGTCCTCCACCATCCCCCGGAGTCCACCTAAGCTCACGCCGACTGCTTCAGTGACTCCATCCAGCCCCCTCATCCTCTGCCGCCCCCTCCTTCTTTTGCCATCTATTGTTCCCAGCATTAGGCTCTTCTCCAGGGAGTTCTTCCTTCTCATTAGGTGGCCAAAGTATTTGAGTTTCATCTTCAGGATCTGGCCTTCTAAAGAGCAGTCAGGGTTGATCTCCTCTAGGACTGACCGGTTTGATCGCCTTGCGGTCCAAGGGACTCGCAGAATCTCCTCCAGCACCACAATTCAAAGGCCTCAGTCCTTCGGCGCTCAGCCTTCCTTATGGTCCAGCTTTCACAGTCATACATTGCAACTGGGAAAACCATAGCCTTGACTATACGCACTTTTGTTGGCAGGGTGCTGTCTCTGCTTTTTATTTTGCTGTCTAGGTGTGCCACAAGTTTCCTCCCAAGGAGCAAGTGTCTTTTAATTTCTTGGATGCAGTCCCCATCTATATTGACATATAAATTGAAGACTCAGGAGTCAAAGGTTTCATGGACTGACTCCACAGCCCTGGCACTGAGGGGCATGCGATTTTTCAGTGGCATTGATGGCTTTGGGCTGGGATCGTCTTGGCCTTCCCAGGTTGGACTTGTGGAAGACTCCTTCCAGTTATCCGTGAGAGGATCCCACATTGAGCTGGCACAGATCCCTTAAATGCCGCAATCCAGCTGTGCAGGGCTCCATGGAGGTTTCTTGGGGTACACAGAAGGCTGCTCTGCTTTCAGCTTGTGACTTTAAAAACCAAGCCACTCGTGGGGCAAGAAAAAAAATATGCAGGCAATAATCTACCTGTTTACCTGAGGCAAAAGCAATTTGTTCCCAGCTTCCAGTAATTTAGCCAAGGACCTTGATTGGCAAGTACTTGTCTCTCTTTTCCTCTCTTATTTTATTTAAATAGATGCATTAACAAAATGCATGCAGAACTCATTAGCTTATTTCTGCCGTGTCCAATTATTATGTTGGCTCTTTGGTGGTGCCACCCACTTGTTGGGACTTCAGCTCCCAGAAACCCCTGCCAGCATGGCCAGTGGTCCGGAATTCTGGGAGCTGATGTTCAAAACAACTGGCGATCACCTTTCTGCCCATCTAGGATGCCTTTTCCATGCCCTGTGCCTGATTTCTAGCCACAAACTGGATGTCAGTCAGCAGTAGCCTGTGACAGACCCCCCCCGCCCCCCTGCACCTTGTGTTCCTCCTGTCCCCACTGACCCCACATTGCTGGGCCGCCAGTAGCACATGGCACCATGGGTCTTACCAGTGCGACGTATCCTGTCCAGCATTCTGGCCAGTGCAGATGGGAATTCGCTTCCTTGCCTGTTCTCCCGGAACTCCCTCATCTGGGAAAGGTCCTGCTCAGCAGGATGCATCCGTGGCTGCAGAGCGGAGCACACCTGCGGGCTCCCCCCTGCGCCCCTCAAAGTGAGCAGCCACTTCTGGTGGGTCATCGCTCCTTGCGCACGTCTCGGCTTCCAGATCTCCGACTCCAACGGATCTGCGAGAGACCTTGGGCGGCCTGGGAACACAGTCACACACAGCTGCCTTGGCCGGCGAAGGAACGCCAGCCTGCTTCGCCCAGCGAGGGCCACGCTGAATGTCAGAAGCAGCTGTTTGTGGACTTCGGCCAGGCGTGTTTTGGTGTTCCTGGCGCGAAGGGCTGCTCCAGCCGTGCTCTGCGGCTGCTCTCCTGCCTGCAGAGTCAGTGCTATTAATATCAGGTAATGAACATAATCTCTAGGTTAAGCCGTCCGCTTATGCGCGGAGGCTACTTGCGCACTCCATCGAGTTCGCTCTTTTTTCCGCCTCTGCTCTTGCTGGTGTCACACCAGGCTTTTTCGGGTGTCCTTGAGACTTCTGCTAGGCTCTCCCAAGCCCCGTTTCCTTCGTTATCAGAGCCCAGATTCCCACCACCGCGATGGGCAGAGTGCACTCAGCCTGCTTCATAGAGACCTGGCATGTTTTGAGACTGGGCTGAGACCCCAGAGCCAAACCTCGGCACACGCACACAACCAGTAAACTTTCCCAGGGTCAAAGCACCGAGCGCTCTTCCAATCCCTGCTGCACCCCCTCTGCAGCTAGCGGGAGATGAACGGGTCCCCTGTGTACTCGGGGGTCAGGATCTCTGGATGCTGGACCCTTGGCGCTGAAGGCAGGTGAGTGGGGCAGCGGACTTGGTTTTCCGCCCTGGTTTCTCTGCACACCGAGTGACGTGGCTGAAGATTTTCAGAAGGCCGAAGCAAAAATCAGTCAGAAGAGGGGTGTGGTGCAGAGCGAAGCTGAAGGCTGCTTGAGGCATAATTATGGGGAGGGGGCTCATATGCAAAGCACAAAGTGACGCTACCAGTGCCCTTCTTACCCAGCAGGTGTTGCCTCCCAGAAGTGGGCTGCTTGGCAGATATCGGGGGACTATGCAAGGGTTTAAATGGGGCAGTTTGGGGTTTCTGCCAAGCATTCCCTGGATAAGGTGTTCACCGGGCTGGTCCTTTTGTGGATTGCTCCGTTGCCACACCTTGTCTGCAGTAGCTTGGGAGCAAAAAACTTTTCGCATGGAGGAGCTCTCTTTCTTAATGCAATGTACCTTCTTTGGGAGATGAGAGGCAAACCTAAGCGTTGTTCATTTGCTTCCTAGTAAGCCCTGTGTGCTAGTTAGGGCAGAATCATAGTAACTCTCCTTAAAGGTGGATTTTGGCCCCTATTTCAGTGTATTCTCTGAGCTGAAAGAATATTCTAAGTATTCCATTGGATGGAGTAGTCTGCTTTCTTCTGTGCTCAATACCAGTTATCGATGTTATTCTGGATTTAATCAAGAACCTTTTGAAATTGCATCCCTTTATGTGTGTGCCGTGCTTTCATTAAGCGTCCTGGTTTATAAGATGGACAAATAATACATATTGTCAAGATTACTGTCCATCTTTTGTCTCAAACCTTCCAATTGTAGCTAATAGTTATTTTTCCCACAATGTGTTTAGGTTGTTGTTGTTGTTGTTGTTGTTGTTGTTGTTATTATTATTATTATTATAACATTTCTATGCCGCCCCTTGCCGAAACCTCGGGGCGGCTTACAACATGATAAAATACATTGAAATACAATAGTACATAATAAATTACCATTAAATATAAAAATACAGGTTATGGGTGCAGACTAGATTTGCACCCGGTGCCAGTGGCTCATCTGTTCGTTTTTGCTGCAATAGCTTCTCAACAAGCTTGTCTGTGTCTCCTGAATGCTGACTTTTCCCCTCCCACATTTCCGTGTTCGAGAAACAAGTTGTTCCGGAATCATTTTGGATAATGGACTAATTTGGGACTTAAGTGGAATAAACTGGTGGAAGGATTTGTAATATGATGTGTGTGTGGAGGAAGTAAATAAGGAGGCATTTTCTTTAGGAGTCGGGGGTTGCCCTGTGAAATTGATGTGTGGCAGGTTGAGGATAGAGAGAAGAAAGCACTTCTTTGCACAATGGGCCCTGGATATCTGAAATTTGCCACTTTTTAAAATGGATTAGCCAATCTCATGGAAGGAAGAGAGGTCTGCTGAACACAATTCAGAGAAGCTCTCTGGGGCTGCTTTTCAGCAGAGAGAGGAGCTGAAGGCAAGCGGGACATGGTCGAAATATCAGAAAGACCAGTATATCTTAACTTCAAAGCTTTTACCCCCTCAGGGAGGCATTTCACCCTTCCTGAAGGGGGAAAACGTGGCAGAAAAGCCCAGAGCCCACTGAACTGGTGGTTGGGGAGTGGTGGGGGAGCAGGTGCCAATGGAGCTGGTGAAGGAGATGTGGGTATCTGTGGGACCCCAGGGGCCAGGGTGGGACCCAGGCCTCATTGTTCCCCTGTGTTAGTGGGGCTTTTATGCTCAGACAAGGCATACCCCGAAATACCATTGGTTGGGGGGCACCACAGGGAAGGGTTGTTGCCTCCGGGAAGCTCGTAACTGGCGCATGCACTGGGTTTGGGGACAGATCCTAAATAAGGCGGCAGTTGGTCTGATCCAGCTGGAGTTGCCCTGTGCTCTTAAATATGAAAAGGGGGTTCTTGAAAATAATGTACCATTTTTGGTAGTGAGTTCCAAATGTCCAAAGCATTTCCCATGCAATTTCTCAGTAGCTTTGCCAAAGGGATCCGGCCCCTATGGGGGGTGGTGGGGGGTGGTGAGGTTGGGAAGAGCTGGGGTCTGAGGCCTCCCAGGGAATTCTTGGTTGGTATGAACGTTGAACTGTGGACTTCCCGACTCGTTGGCTGTGCGGACAGCAAGACACATGGGCTCAGATGAATACAGAAGGCAGCAGACAATGCCCATCAGCCCCAGATGGCATGGTCACTGGTCAGGAATGGAACGCCTGGACTCAATGGGTACGGCCCATTGTTTGATTGATTGTCCCGCCTTTTTCCTTTCCAGGAATTCAGTGCAGCTTGTATCATGCTCTTCCCCTCTCAATCTTATCCTCACAACAACAGCCCTGTAAGGTAGGTTGGGCTGAGAGGCTGTGACTGGCCCAAGGTCACCCACTGAGCTCCATGGCTGAGTAGAACCCAGATTGCCTGGGTCCCCATCCCGCACGCTTAACCATTACACCACGCTGCTCTCAAGGAGACACTCCTTTGAGTAGAATATGTGGGATTGCTCCAGAGTAAAGCAGCTGGTCTCCGATATGCAAATTAAGAAATTCTGCCCGATTTGCTTCGAGCAACTTCCCCGAGGTACCTGCCCCATGCAGAGCCGATGGGCAGCAGCGAGGCCATGTTTGATGCTGCGGATGTCGGTAGAGGATCAGCTGTGTTGTTGTTGTGATGTGCCACCGAGCTGCCTCCGACTTAGGGTGACCCCATGAGTGAAAGCCCCCAGAATATCATGCCCTGGGCAGCCCCTGCTCAACTCCTGTAAAATCAACACTGCGGCTTCCGTTATGGAGTCCGTCCATCTCATATTTTGCTCCTCCTCCTCTTCTTCCGGGTTGCAGTGAAGACAACATTCTCATCACTACATTGCATGTATTCCCCACCTGTTCTGCCTCTTGCAAGGATGCTTACATAGATCCACTTATTTTCACAACAACAACCACCCTGTGAGGTAGACACAATTTGTGTCTAAATGTGACTTCGACACACACCTCTGCTCAGCATAAAGTGCCTTCAAGACATTCTCTGCTTTCTTGTTAGTCACCGAGTGGACAATTTTTTACACTTACTGCCAATATGCAATTTTCAGGACAGTCTGATATTTAATTTTTATTACTTAAAAATCCCTAGGCAGCTTACAAAATCATACAGTATATTTTTTAAAACAATGAAAGTTTTGTATTTAAAACTTTTTAAAATTTAAACGCCTTCAAAAGTTTCAAAATGTAGATGAAAATTAAAATAAGGCATTGGCAGAATTATAGGAACAGCAGTAACAGTTCCACAATCAAAACTCCTTCTATAGTAAAAGCCTGTAATAACAGCACCATGAATGTCAGACTTCACATTTTGATGAATTTAGCTCTCTCTTGGTTTTCTCAGGCCTTCATCTGCTCTGCGCGTCTCCCCAACGGCATTTTGGTGAAATATCTCTGTAGGGCAGCAAAGCTGCAGCCACTGAAATTTCTGCTCAGTCCTTACCCCAGGTTATTTTAGAAGTATTATTGCCACTGTTGCAAATGTGTCTTTTCAGCCTTGAGGGCTAGAAACTTAAAACAACAACTGAAAACTCAGGATACTTAATCCTGTATGTGCCCGAGTTCATCACGTGATTATTGCTCAGTGATTCCAGGTGGCCGATGCAGCTTCATCCTATGCCAGGATACTTTCCAGGTTGTGGGTCGATTTTGAAAGCCTTTGGGCAGGGATAACCATCACTATTCTAGGGCTCGAATGCTAAACAAAGGGAGCGTGCACAAATTACCTGTAAATATTGGTGCTGGCACTGAGCCCACGGTCCCCTTTGCATCCCCCTGGAGATCTGCATTTTGAGTGCAGTGGCAGCAACTCCCCCTGCCCCCCCCATCAGTGTTACTGCTTGTTTGTGTCAGGACCCCCCAGGGAATGGTGTGTACTTGTTAACTCATCGCTCTTGAGTGAACCTCACCAAATACTTTGCCCATATGGTGTCTCTTCTTCCTCCCAGGCAGGTTCGCCTCTCTGCCTCTCTCTCTCTCTCTCTCTCTCTCGGGGAGCTGGGGGTGGGCGGGTGTGGATCCTTTTGCCGATGAATAAGCTCTGAGCTGCTCTCCCCAGGAATGATTTGTGCTCACAGTATCCTGGAGGGTGGATGTTGCTGGGCGAGGCACAGCGAGTCTCTGCCTCTTGCTTGCGGAGATGTTTTGCAGCCGGTGCAGCTCTGGGCAGGGCGGCCTTCCTAAATTTGGGACTGTATGCCCCGTAACTGCTCCGCCACCGCAGCTCGGATGGACCCCAAGGTAAGCTGGGCAGAGAAGGCTGTCACCTGGGAATCACGGAATAGGGTCTGGGATGCTCTTGGCAGGCCCAGGACAAACCTAAGGACCGACGCTGTCCTCTGCAGGTGTGGAGAAGAGCCGGTTCTCCCATGCTCACATCTGTGTATGCCCATCTGCAGGTACGATGAGGACCAGGTGTTTCCCGCTCCACATGCATCCGATGTCACTCGATCTTAGGCTAAAATTATTTGATAGCCTTCATGATTTTATCTCGGGTATGATGGTGCTTCTGCAGAGGTGCCCTTGTTTTCGTTTTATGGCTTTATTAATTGCATCTGGGG